GACAGGCTGAGAGAGTTAGCATTGTTCAGCCTGGAGAAGAGAAGGCTTCAGGGAGACCTTATCGCAGCTTTCCAGAAGGCTGGAGAGGGGCTTTCACAAGGGCATGTAGTGATAGGACCTATGGTGTTAGGCTGAAGGAGGGTAGGTTTAGATTGGATATTAGGAAGAAATTCTTTACTATAAGAATGGTGACACATTGGAACAGGTTGCAATGAGATGCTGAGTACTCCCTGCCCCCAGAGGTATTCAAGACTAGGCTGGATGGAGCTCTGACTAACCTGGTCTAGTGGAAAATTCCCTGCCCATGGTAGGGGGGTTGGAACTAGATGATCTTAAGGGTCCCTTCCAACTCAAATCATTCCTTGATTCTATAAATGCAGATTATAAAAATAATTTTACTTTTAAGAATGAAACTCTTGAAATATTTTTGGGTTTATATTTTGATTTTGCTGCTAGAAACAGCATCATGACTGGTGCAGAAAAAAGAAAAAAATGTAGAATGTTGTAGGACACCAGATATCTCTGGATATCTGTATGTCTTCAGATAGTTGGTCATGATACAAAATTAAAAAAAGTAAAATTAAAAACTACTGTTTTCTAAGATTCATCCACAACTAAAATAATACAGTGGAAACTGGAGTTACTGCCAAAATAGATTTTTTTTTTTTTTTTTCCAACTGAGAAAGCAATTAAAGGGTTCAGTGAAAAATGCATACTTCCTTTTGTGGTCAATGATTCCTCAAACAATTGAATGTCAAAATGCTTTTCATAGCTTCTTACTAAGTAGTTGAAAGGGAAATCATCCATTGTATGACTACTTTAAAGACAACAATGAAGCTGGAGAAAAAGAATTAATATTTACGTCCACCCAATTGCTTTTCTCTCATCATGAAAACTTCCTGTAGGCAACTCATCATTTGACCTTGAAAGCTTTGCATCATAGAATAATAGAATCAAAGAACAGACTATCCTGAGTTGGAAGGAACTTTAAAGGTCTTCTAGTCCAAACCCCTGCAATGAGCATCAAAATTTTTAATTGCTTTTCCTTGTCTACCAAAGCAGTTTTAGAATTACCAGTAGCTCTATTTTATTTTGTTAACGTGAATACATAGAAACATTGAAGAATGTCACCTTTACACAGTTATTTAAAGGACCTGAAATTGCTTTTCACTATGGAAGAAAATAAATTAAACAAAAACTTGCTGGTTGACATTTAAAAAAAATTAAAGTTATGTAACAGAGGTAAGGATAAAAAGAATTAAGTACCTAAATACTATTTAAATTTATTTCACACTCTATTCCAAATGTTTAGGATGCATCCTTAAAATGAGAAGCAACAAATCTCACATACCTCCAAATTTATGACTTAATCTGTTAAGCAAAGAATAATTTACTATGGTGAATTGATAATAGGAAGCTAAAGGTCTATGGGAAGATTCAATCATTTTTTGAGGAGAAAGAAGAACAAAAAAAAAAAGTAAAAAAAAAGCCAATTCTGTAGGAAATCAGAGCAGGCAGAGAAAGAGGTTTGTATGGTGTGTTGAGGTTGAGGGGAATGTACAAGCATGTGTTGCAAGACTCATCTTAGAAAAAGGTGCAATATTTGATATTTGAGAATAGCTATCTCAGTATCAATAACCCCACCAAGACTGTGACACTTCTATAACTTTCATTCTTAAATACAACAGCAGAAAAATTAGTTTTCTTGTGTAAACAAGCTCACAGATTGCAGAAATCTGCTACATATTGTTTCTAAGGCCAATATTTCTATTACACAATTTCATTTTTATGCATAAATGCTGTTATTAAATGATTTAAGAAAAAAAGATATTGAAATAAACAATATGTTAAAATTGATGTTAAGCACAATTTTAAACAACGTTTATCCCAACTGAACTCTTTGCATTGTGATTTCTTGTACCTTTTCTCCACGGACACTACCTTTTTAGTGGGTGTCTCTGATAAAAAGTGCCGAAGAGAGTTAGATCTGAAGGTAGGGCATCCTTATATACTATCTACACAGATAAACCCCCAGTTTCATGTTATCTAACTTAAAAGACTTATGTGAGATATCTAGTCAGGCTCAGCCTAGGTCAACAGAGAAAGCACATCCTAGAGAGATCTGAAGAGAGATGCCATGTACCATAGTTCGTGCTTTTCTGTAAATGGAAGGAACATGAACTTATATGTATATTAAGAAGTTAATACACGACTATCTATGAAGCAAAGTTTGATTAATATATATTAATCTATTAAAAATATTACCATATATACCATACATATATAAGCACTATAACCATTTATATAACCAGCAGTTTTCCAATTTAGTGCCAGGCAAAAAGTCCATCCAAACAGTGTAGTAGAAGATGCCCTCATGAGGAGGTCTAAATTGAAAAGTGGCTTTGACCAAGAATAAAAGACACATGTTTAGGCAGCCTCTCATCGACCTGACCTCTAGATACGCAACCAGTGTTCAAGGGTGGGCATCCTCTTAAAAACATTCTGGTCTTGCATTCATGTGGACAAAACATCTGAGGAATAGCTGTTACCATAGGATAAATGTCTGTTCTTTATCAGAATGTGCACACCTGTTTGTTCATGTCTTTACAGTAAATCAGCTTGGCATGATATTAAAAATTGAAAGGCAAAAAGTTAAGAAGCAAACTGAAACAGAGAACCTTAACTAAAACAGCTTTACTAGCAAACCTAAAGCACATAACAAAACAAATATACATCAAGCTGTGTCTCAGCAACAAAAGGAAATGAAGCTAAACAGTCTGTGCAGTTTTGCCAATGACTGCTTTCATGGCTGGCAGCAGCACAAGACCATACAAGACATGTGAGAGAGCATCAATTAGGAAAAAAAGAATCCTAGTCTCAGAACCATGCATTTCACCTAAGGGAAAACAATTAAGATGTGCCTAAATGTTCTGCACTTGAAAGTAATATATTTCTAGAAATATATATTTTGTAGCACTTGATCTTGAGGCATCACTAGCTGTTACATTCATATAATTTCCTTATCCTACTGGAAGGGATGCTGACATTGCAACAGATTCAGAGAGAAGAGCTGGCCAATTTTTCAGAAAGAAATACTCTCTCCCACACAATACAGCTGAAAGCAGCAGTTACACAGGGCTAGGAGGGGAACAAAGAGCTGCCAGAACCTAAGAGCTGACAGGTTGGACAGAAACCAAGGTCAACGTAGTGCAGTTCCATGCTGTGATCTAGTACCAGATGCCTCAGAGGACAGCACCAGAAAATAGCACATTACAAGTATGGAATAATTTCCACTCAGAAATATCTCTTTCATTGGTGCTGGAAACTGCAAATCTGTGTAGTTAGGAATTCCCTTAGATCCCCTTAGCCACAGAAACAGGGCTTCCAAATCATTTTGCCATTAGTTCGTGATAATGCCAGGTATTCTCTGTCTAAATCCCACAAGTCTTCTTCAAATTATTGCAAGTTCCTGGCCACATATTCTAAGCTTTCATGTTGTGGCAGAAGAAGAATCTTGCTGAAGCACCTATGGAGGGTTCAAGACACCAAGCTTTTTTTTCAAAGAACAAAATATAACACTCTCATAAGGAAACTAAGCCTCAAACAGCATGCATCAAGAAGGAAAGTAGTATTTTCAAGGAGAAATTGTATACTATCTGGGTAGAAGATGCAGCCAATTCATAGGTAGCCAATGAAGAGTCTACAGCTGTTCAATGTCTTTTTTTTTCGTATAGGTATTCTTAAAATGTCTTACAAAGTTTAGAATATTTGTTTAGATTTTGTTTTCCATGACTTGCGCAGCACTGTGCATCATGGGGTGATGACATTTAGGGGAAGTAGTTTATTTTTCTCATGTATTTAGTTCCATTTTGAAGGCACTTACAAAGATGCTGAGTTTGCTGGAACTTGTTCTACTGATGTTTGTGTTTATTTAGGTACATTCTATATTTACCTTTCTGTTGTTGCTGCAATCTTTGGGACATTCATAGTACTATGAAGCAGAAAATTTTTTTCTAACTTCTGGAATTTTCGGATGTGTGTATGTACATGAAGAAACAAACATATAATAAATGTAGGATATGAATTGTATACATACATTTCATGATGCATATATGTAACGTGCATAATATTTCCAAGAGAAAGTGTACTGGATATTTTATTAGACTGGATTACAGACGTCAGTTAAACAATGGTTTTCAGCACTTTTTAATTTCATTTAGCCTTTATTTAGCTTCAGGCCACATGATTGACAAGACTTGCATTAAAGGCTGCATCCTGCCAGCAACAGAAGCCATTCAGCATGCTCTGAATTTGGTGGGAATTTAGGATCTGAAGCACCTTGCAAGAATGAGCCATAGTCATCACCTACTGACATCCCATGCCACAGATCCACAAACCACAAGAGGCCCTGTGGCTCTGCACAAACTGATGTGAAAATCTAGAACATTTTTGGTAACGGCTCAGTAGAGATCTGTGCTTGAGGGAAATCATAACTGAGTGGTGTCTAGTGCTACATCTATATTGGCTTTGGTGGCTAGGATTGAGATGAGGCTTGAGTTCATGGAGACAAGGGGTTTGAGTTTTTTGCCTCTTTATTGCCCCTGTGGGAAGTTCAGGGAAGCCTGGAGAGCTGCTTGGGCTCAGACCACGCTATACATGCCATGCAAGTCAGCTCATAGGAAATTGCAACTGGACCAACAGTACGATGTAGTTGTAACTTCACCTGTTTCATGTTACACCACACCTACAAACTGTGGGGGTCATAGAAACATAGAGTATCCTGAGTTGGAAGGCACCCACAAGGATCATCAAGTCCAATCCCTGGCTCTGCACAGGACAACCCCAAGAGTCACACCATGTGCCTGAGAACATTTCCTAAACACTTCTTGATCTCTGTCACTCTTGGTGCTGTGACCACTTCCCTGGGAAGCCTGTTCAAATGCCCAACTGCTCTCTGCATGAAGAACCTTTTCCTTATATAAACCTAAACCTTCCCTTACCCAGCTTCATGCCATTTCCTTGGGTTCTGTTGCTGGTCACCAGAGAAAAGAGATCAGTGCCTGCCCCTCCACTTCCCCTCATGAGGAAGCTGCAGACCATTATGAGGTCTCCCCTCAGTCTTCTCTTCTTCAGGCTGAACAGACCAAGTGACGTCAGCTGCTCCTCATACAGCTTCCCCTCCAGACCCTTCACCATCCTTGTGGCCCTCGTTTGAATGCTTTCTGAGAGCTTAATGCCTTTTTTATATTGTGGCACCCAAAACTGCACAAGGCACCTGAGGTGAGGCTGCACCAGCACACAGCGGAGAAAGACAACCACCTCCTTTGACTGTCTGGCAATATGCTGATACACCCCAGGACACGGTTACTTAAGTGTTTGCATTCACCAGAAAAATCAGGCAGGCTGTTAAATTATTTTCTTGTCTCAGTTTCATAACTCGGTGGTTCTGGTTTTGAAGTAGTTCAAATACATCCCCTGCTGTGTGATGTGCAATGTTGAAGTGGTGAGGCAACCAGAGGTGAGCAGCCCTGTGTTGCAGAGCCAGCCAAGGTACAGCCATCACTGGCGAGTGGGAAAGCTCTAATTCAGCCTGGTGTCTGGTCTTTGGTGGAGTTTTTTTCCTTGTTTCATGTGTGGAGATCACTGCTAGAAAAGTTAGCTTAATTCTCTGAGAAGTGAAAGTGCTTTCATGATCTGTGTTGCCACCCCACAGGGAACACAAGTTTGGCAAGATGAGATCGACTGAATATGATGCAGTGAAAAAAGAGACTGCCAGTGCTTGAGGAAGGTGAGGGCTGATCTGCGGGCTTCACAGTGGACATGGTATGGGATACAAAATGATGGTGGCTTTCAGATCTTTTATCAATTTTCCTGAAATTGCCTCAGCTGTTACAATGTGCAGCTCGATTAACTGTCACACCTTTCTAGAGAGAAAATACATTTATTTCTTTTAAATAAATTGTGAACTAAAACCCAGACAAAAATTCCTTAAAGGTGTGAAATGCTGATGGATGATGTTATTTGAAGTCTGAAAGTCAGAGGATGTATGCTTCTCTCTGCTACCTGGCATGAGATGGTCGTGTTGGGAAGGGGCAAATTGCTTGCACTGGAACAGAGCCTTTCCTCCTCCTCCTCTATTCCATGAGCAGTCAGCATGGCAGCTGTAGTTGGGCGCCTTCATGCCCTCTCAGGCAGAAGTGCAACCCATAACAGAGGGAAGAGGGCACAAGCTGAGGAGCATGACACTGCCTGGCTACAGCATGTTGCCTCTTCTCCTGCCATGTATTGGTGGCCTGGCACTGCTTGAGGCTGTGCTCAGAGGTGCTGTCATGCCCCTGCTCTTATGGTGGTATCAGATGGGGAAGACCAGGACAGTGCACCAAACCATCTCTGTCTCCGTGACTACTCCTCTGGTTTCATCAGCTCAAACCCCTCATGATGACACCCTTCAGTGCTTCCTGAGACCCAGGATGGCCATTCCTTCTGTGCTGCAGCTGACAGAGCTCTGCTGCTCAGGCTTCTCTGATTTGTTTCTTATGGTAAATTACTGACATAGGAGAAGTTGAATAATTCACTGGATTGACTGCAAACTTCATTAGAATTTAAAAATTATCTAATTCCATATCATTTTGGCTTTCCTCCTTTGTTTCAGATCTGGCCAACCTGGCATAGGAGAGTGGGCAGTTGCCTGAGGCTGTGATGGGGTTTGGGTCAGGGTGGTTGGTACCTGCAGGAAGCACTGTGCATGCTGGCCATGTGTTCCATTGTACTGCTGTAGGGGCTGTGGGTGTGCATCAAGCCCACAATGGAAATGCTCTGGATTAAAAATGGAAACAATTTTTTCCAAGGCAAACTTTTCCCAGTCTCTGTCTTTTCATGGTTCCAGTTCACAGTGTGGTCCCACAGACATTGTGTCACAACTGATAAAAATGAGTTGCACCACATAGGTGGGAAGGGGTAGGAACTTCCTAAGCCTGTTTTTTTCTCAAAGAGCAGTATATTCGTTAATTTTACTTCAGCCGGGGGAATAGGTCAGTGTCAAACAGTTTATAGCAGATCTCCTCCTCTCCTATACCTTGCACAATCACTGACTCCAATGTCAAGTGAGTATTAAATACTAGTGTAGTGTATGGTGTAACTGATTGTATAAAGGCAAATCAAATGAAAATCAGACCCAAAGTTACCTCCTCCCTCTTCCTGGTACCTTGCTCAGAAAAGTTACAGTTTAGATTTTTTTTTTTTTTTTTTTTGAGAGAGAGAGAGTGGGGGGGAGAGTGACTGTCAAAACTTTAAACATCTTGAAGAATTGAAGATCGGTAAAATCCTCCATCCTGAACTATAGAGATGCTACTGTCTTTGGCTGATGGTGCCTTCATCTTCTTTTCTGTGCAAAGCAGCAGCAACTTGCAAATAAATACATGTTAGTGTTTATTTTGTCTTACCGAGAAGAGATGGCCTACATTTCTACATTTTAAATGTCAAGGAAAGGCCCAAACAAATGAAGGAGAAATCGCTCATCTAGCAAAGCTACTGGTCCACACATGCTGGAATAGGAAATGGAGCTAGGGAAGATTGGTTACAGTATCAGCCTTGGGTTCAATACAGAGAATTGTCTTTCAGATAGTGATTTATGGCCCATAAACACATGGTGCACTTGACTAGTGTCTGTCTATTTCCAGGTAATAGCATGAGCGAATGAAACAGTCAAAAAACTTCCATGTGCTTTTCCAGCACATTTTTGCCTACCAGGAGTCCTTACAGTTGACAGGGATGTTTGCAACGGGCAAGGGCAATTTCTCAAGCTATGGTTAGTGAAGGAGATAGCTCACAGAATTCTCTCTGCCTTGAGCTGCAGCTCCAGCTGTGGGGAGGTTGAGAATATGAAGTTGCTGATTAATGATGTTTTCAGCAGAAGATGCATTTTCAGCACAGATTTTTTTTTTAAAAGCCCCAACATTTATTTATTCCTTCCTTTACTATGTGATAATCTATGCAGTTAACGTTGAACTTCAAAACCACTTTCATGCTTTAAGGGAGAGGTGTCAAATAACGCTGTAGAGAGGTGTTTTTCCATCTGTTTGTACTGTGTTTTTATGTTACTTTTTGTGGGGCTTTTTTTTTTTGTAATCCAAGCTATTTCCGAACTGGATATTTCAGAACTGTGGGATCTGTTGCTACATACTTTTTGCCTTTGGAGATTATTTGTCTGAATCCTTATAGTCTAGTGAAAAGCTGAAAAGAAAGTCTCACCAGCAGCAAAATAAGTAGTGATCTGAGATAAACTCTGCAGGTGGAGCAGCTCAGGGTATAGCACACTCAAAAGAGGTCCTGGGGAAGAGGACCTGTGCAATGCTGGTAGTGCTGTCACAAGGAGCATGCAGTAAGTTTTTTGTTGTAATGTGTGCATCCCACAGTAATTTCTGTTCCTCAAAAAAGTTGTCCCTTTCCATGCTGTCATCTAACAAATGCCCAGGAGGAGGCTGTTACTTTATACTGATTGTCTGTGATAGTGACCACAGGATGTGAACACTGTGGAAACCTCCAAAGGATCTGTGAAGCAGGTGATTATTTTTTCTGTCCTTCTCCTATGCTGGTGTCATGTTGGGGTCTGGCATGCTCACAAAGATCTCCAGTCATAGAGTGTTCCCTATATTTTACTCTTGTGCCATTCTTACTGCTGCATAGTTTTTCCTCAACTGTTCCCTGGGTCTTCTATTCTGAAAGTTAAGTGCATTTGTTTTTCTTTGTCCGGCACAAAGTCTGTTCGCCTTCACTTTGCAGCATCCTTTTACATACTCGAGAGTTTTATTTTTCTCTCAGCCTTCTCTTTAGGCTAACCAATCCCATTTCATTCAGTTTTTTTGTCATATGACATGCTTTACAGATCTCTGATCATTCCTATTACTCTGCCTGTTCAGCTGCTCCTGAATCACACTGCCCATGACCTTCTGCATCTTGAGGCTACAGTTCTATTTTTATAATCAAGCATGATGATGTCTTTTCCACAACAGAAAGGACGTTGTTGATTCAATTTCATCTCTTGCTCTCGATCTGAGTGATCCTAAGATCACTCTAGCACAGTGACTGTGTAACTAATGTTTTCCCATTTTGGATTTGCTAATGATCATTCCTGACTGGGTACAGCAAATTGCATTTGCCTCTAGAGAGGATCTTTTTTTGTTTTAAAGTGCATCTTCAATTTGTCAGAAAGCTCTGAGCTTTGTCCTCTGCTGCTATGTTACCAAGGAAGAGTGTCCTGTTTAACCTTTCTGCAAATGCGTTAATATTGTTTGTCAGTGTACTTTGTGTTTGGGAGACATTTCCCTTTCCCACTGGGAGAGGAGCTGACTACTTCTGTCCTGCTCAGCTGTTTTTTTTGATAGTGTTAAGGTCCTTTGGAAATCTGCAGTGTGCCACATGGTAACTATTCACAACCTGCAAGCTGTGCTGTCAATTGTTAGTAGTCACCAAACTATTTACTAACCAAAATGTCTTGCAATAGCCAACTACTTAACAGTCAAAAGATAGAACTAAGCAACCTCCAGACAGCAAAAGACAATGAATGTTATCCTCAGGCAGGCACATAAACCAGATCAGCTTAATCATCTCTGAAAGTGCTCATTCCTCAGAACTGCCTTAACATGGAGCATTGGGTGACTGTCTCAGACACAGGCGTGGCACAGATGAATCCTAGCCCATCTTTTTGGTGGTCATTTTACTCAGTAGAGTGAAAAAGGCTCATGAAGAACTTAATTTTTCAGTGATCTGTGAAGAGGGCTGTGTTTCTGATTGTGTTACTATAATTAGTGTAATAAACTATCAACTAGGGGAAGTTACTGCCTTCTTTCAAATCTGCAACTGTAGACTTGAAATCAATACATTTGTTAGTTCTCCTTACTCTGAAAAAGAATGATCTATTCAGCAGAACAACCACCAAAGTCTTTCTGTGGACTTCAGAGTAAACTGAGTCAGTTTGCAATAAGGTTCTTCAGCAGAAGAAAGGGACATGTTCATATAAGGAGAGGAAATTGCTTCATGAGCAACATTAAACATGGTTCTCTGATGCTTATTTGGTAAAACCAAGTTGTATTAGTGTAGCTCACTGTTCTTGTTGATATTACTGTTGTATGCATTTCCCTGGTGTGCATTCTATACTTAGGAATGGAAATTAGTAACACCCTACATCATGAACATTCTGATTTCAATGTAATGGCTCAAGAACTGTGTATATAATGTATATAGAATAACCTAATAATGCAATAATACCATAATGATAGAATATATTTTATATATATATGTATGTGTGTGTGTGTGTGTGTGTGAATATATCTCCCTCAGAACTTTTCCTATATTTAGATTTTCTTACCATCTGTAGCATTGTGTTGGAGTAATCCTGCTGGGAAATGCTCAGGCACTGCCTTATTGACTGTATAATTTTTTTCTTGGTACTACACTCACTATTCACTGACCACAGCAGCAGTAAGCTTTCCACTCAACACGATTCACTAGAGGATCTTGTTTTCCTTTTGTGATCAGTTCCTCAGGAGTCTAGAAGCTGCAAGGAGAGATGCTTTGAAACTTGGTTTTCTTTTTGTTAGAGCGTTGTGCCTGTCATATTCACAGCAGTCAATATCAGCAGATTTCCAGACCTGTCTATGTTGTTTTCAGTCCTCATGCTACTGGGAGATGTGAGACCCTGTGAAACAACAGAAGTGAAAATATTTATCTGTAATAGTCATAAAGCTATATAAAAATAAAATGGCTTTTAACAGGGATGTCTGACTAATT